GAGGCGCGGGAGCAACACCGAGGGTTGCGATCCCGTTGCCGGTCCCCGGTCCGGTACGGGGGCAACACTGAGGGTTGCGATCCGTTGCCGGACACGGGAAAAAGACAAAAGACAAAAAAAAAAAGAAAAAGTTTGTCAATCTTAGCTCTAAACTAGTGTTTCTCAAAAGGGCCACTATTGGTATTTTTGAATGGGATAGTTCTCATTTTGGAAAAAGTTTGTCAATCTTAGCTCTATTAAACTAGTGTTTCTCAAAAGGGCCACTATTGGTATTTTTGAATGGGATAGTTCTCATTTTGTACAACTCTTTAATACTTATAGGTGAGTTAGCATTCCTGGCCCCCCGGTGCTGAGTTTCAGGAACACTCTTCACTTATCATGACAACCAGACACTCCCCACACACACAGACACAGAGAATTGAAGTGGAGTTATAGTAGGGGACAGAGATACATTCCATGACTGACAAATGCATTTCAGTCATCAAGCCTTTATCCCTGTGGTATACAGACCACCAAACAAATCGTGGGAAAGAAACCCCCAAGAGGGCAAACAGAAGCTGATCACACAGACGACCATGACCACAGGTGGCCTGTACCGAGCACGTGCAGACGTGCGGTGCAGCAGTCAGAGCCTTCAGAGACTTTACACTCTGTGCTTCCAGTGCTTCCTTTTTTCTGAGTTGGAACCTTGTGAAGTGAGTGCCTCGTTCTCCCAGTGGTAGAGAGGAGATGGGCTTGAAGAAGGTAAGAATTTGCCAAACATCACACAGCTAGTTGGTGTTTGAACCAAATTCAAACCCTGAGTCCTGTCTCCTAACCATTAGGTGTTAGGGCCGTCTGCCACACCGCCTCGCTGACCCGAGGACACATACGGCAGGCTCCCTCCGGCACACACCATGAAGTTGTCCCACGCAGGGCCTACACACTTTGCTGGGCTGTCTGAGTTTTAACATATTGATGTTCTTAATTATTACTTAAATTAATTTTCTGTATTTTACCTTTCCTAAGTAACCAACCTACCCTATCCCACTTTATTCACTTGCTTTTTTCTGAGATGGTAAATATGGTAAGAAATCCTCAGTTGGAAATGAGTGAGGAAAATTAATCCCGTACTACCAGATTTTAAAAAGGTAGTATTGTATCCTTTCAGACTGAGAACTTGCTGTGGTGTTTCTCGTAAGGCAAGTCTACTAGCAACAGGTTCTTTTGATCTCAGTTTGCTCAGGGATATCCTTCTTTCCTTCTCATTTTTAGAGGGCAGTTTTGTTGGCCATACAATTCTCAGCTGGAGTTGGTCTTACTTTCTTCTCGCACTGTGACTATGTCACTGCATGGTGCCTGGCTCTGCAGTTTCAGACAAGGTGCGGGATGTGTTGTTTTTCTCATTTGTCTTTGGATATCACTGGTTTTCTATGATGTATCTGGCTGTGGATCTCTTTGTATTTATCTTACTTGGGGTTTATTGAGCTTCTTGGATCTGTAAATTAATGTTTTTCATCACATTTAGGAAGTTTTTGTCCAGTATAACTTCAAATTTTTTCTGCCCCTTTACTTGCTCTCCTCTCCTGAGACTCTCCTTTATGTATGTTGGTTTGTGTGATGTTGTCCCACAGATCGCTGTGGCTCTATGCATTTTTCTGCAGTCTTTTATTTTCTCTTTTCTTCAGCCTGGCTAATTTCTATTGATCTGTTTTGTAAGCTCACCACTTTCTGCCATCTCGAATCTGCTGTTAACCTTTCTAGTAAATTTTGAATTAGTTATTGGACTTCAACTGGAGAATTTCCACAGTTCTTTATTATAATTTCTGTCTCTGTCCTGCGAATTCTTTTGTTGTTATATTTCCCTTAATTTTTTTTTAAACTTTTTTTTTATTGAATCAAAATTGATTATACATATTTTGGGGGTTCAACATTGAGATATCTTGATCAAATCAATATTACTAGCATATATATTGTTACAAATCATAATTATTCTTTATACCCCTTGTCTAATCTCTCCCCATCCCCCTCTCCCTCTCCCCTCCCCCCCCAATTACCCTAGATTTCTTCTCTCCTTCTGAAAGAATAATGGCTACTCTGTTATTTGTTGCCTAGATGATCCGTCCAATGCTGAGAGGTATGTTCAGGTCCCCCAATATTATTGTAGAGCAGATGCTTCTTCTGTCCCTCTGGAATGGGCTTTGTGGAGAAAGACATCCTCTTCTTTTCTTTATCTGTGCTGGTGACTCTCCTTGTGTCAGTGCCCTTCAGTGGCTGGCAGACCATCTGTGCAGTGGTTGTGGCATCTAGACGCTTTCACAGCAGCCATGGTTACTGTGGTTGCTGTGGTGGGCCACCCACATGATGGTGATGTTTTTGGCATGCTCCTTGGCGCTGGTGGTGTACCTGGTTGTGGGGTGTATCTGGCCCCTGGCTCCATGTGTCAGGTCCCCAGGTGGGCCCTGAGGCGCTGGCATGGTGTGCCTGGTTGTGGGAGGTGGTTCCGGTCCGCTTCTCCATGCCTCAGGTCCCCAGGCGGGCCCCAAGGCACTGGCGCGGTGTGCCTGGTTGTGGGAGGGGAGTCCAGTCCCTGGATCCATGCTTCAGGTCCCTGGGCAGGCCCCAAGGCGTTGGTGTGGCATGCCTGGATGTGGGAGTGTGGTCCGGTCCCCAGCTCCAAGCCTCTGGTTCCCAGGCAGGCCCCAAGGCAGTAGTGGTGTGCTTAGGCCAGGACTAATTTTTTGTCTTTTGCTTACTTCTAAAATGGGGGAACTTCCTGTGGGAGCCATGGTTGAGCTAAATTGCTGCTTTGCTGCTGTTTCCCTAGGGAAGGCTTGTGCAGCTCGGGGTTTAATGGTTGACTTTATAGGTATTTCCAGCTCTCCAGAGACCTGGTGGATCTGGGTTGTGTAGAAACTCTGATCTGGTAAGTTTTTTCATCAAACTGCACCCCATGCAATTCTACATCACTGACCAATCTCCTCTGAGTGGTCTTGTGCTGATTGGGGGGTGGGTCAGCTGTCCTTGCTGTGTCCCAGTGTTCTCCCAGTGGGCCCATCTCCCCCACTGCCCATGCTCCAAACACTTCCCATGGGATGGGTCCTGTGCTAACTCACTGGCCTCTGAATGGTCCCCTTTTTCAGTTCTGGCTCCTCGCTCCTGCGTGGGTCCATGGGAAACCTATTAGTGGTCTTGCTGTCCTGGGGGCCACCAAGGCCCTCTTCTGCCCTGCCGCCTCCAAGTAACTCCATCTGAAGGGCACAGCTGTGGCTTCTGCTGGCTCCTGCTCCATGCACTCAGCAACTCCAGCCTTAAAGCAGCCG